AGAACGAAACGTCCAGTACTACCAGGTTTTCAATGGTGGTCTAACATCAATCGGTTCATGATCTCGATCAAAAACTTAATAATCTCCACAACCATATACTGATAATAAATGTAAAAACGCTATAAATAAGATTATACTAAGAATAAAAACGTTTTAGATATGTTTGTACGTTTGTAAGTGTTAACACTTGAACTATGAGTTTAAACAAAATAGTTTTATTTACAAAACTATTGAAATATAATTATCAACAATAATTCAATTGTGGTGTATGCTATTGATATCAAGAGATATAAGTAGTATATATCACTCATCGAAAGTGGAATGCCTGGTGGCAGAAGGTTGAGAAAAAAAGAGAAGAAGAGAACGAGAATAGAGAGTGATTGGTATGGAAACAAAGGAACGACAAAGTCTGAGACAATTGATTGATATTTTGCAAACGAATTATTTACTGTATGGATCTCAGATTTTATGAAGAAATTCTGTAATTTAGTATTCAAATACATTTGGTTGTCTCCACTTGTTTGTTCTCGTTCACTACAGTGACTACTGGATTTACATAAATAACAAGAGAAAACAAATAGACTAATTGTAAATTTTTGTCAATGTATGAAATTAAGACGAGTTGTGGGTTTATTGTTGTTATCTTGTAAGTTGTCATTATGTTTTTTTAACAAGCTATTGATACAGTAAGTTAAGATGAATCAACACTGAAATAGTTTATTTCAGGCTATTACAGATGATTGACAGATCAACTGTGTTTCCGTACATTTTAACATCATTCTGAGATCCTTTATTACTAATTATTAAAGGACAATAATACAATGATATCAGTAAATCTTTTTTCTTTACAAACAAGTCATAAAAATTATATATTTACCCTTATGACCTATGTAATGACTTGTTACTTCATAATATAACATTTGTACCATTGAATAATTACAAATCGAAGAATTGTATATATGTCAATCCTGCGTTACGTTAGTCATGACTCAAATAGCTTAGTGGTGGACTTAGTGGGTGACTTAAGTTCAAATTTTATAAAAGGTATCAGTTTCATCAAAATTATAGATAGGTAGGTGGTGATGATGAGTGCTAACCGGTACAAAACACAACTGAATAAGGGTTTCTTGAACACTTACTTACTTAAAAAAAGGTGCTTGTACCAATAGGAAGTAAAATTAGCCAAACATGTTGAACACAAATTGATTGTTTTATCAATGTCATGTACTCAGTATTTTCACGAAGCGCTGATGTAGTATTCAAAAACAATCTGGTTTTAACGAGTTATAGGTGAAAAACCCTATTCAATCTAATTTAGTTTATGCAGAGAGTTACTAATGCTGATTATGACACAAAAACGTACTTTACAAAGACGAGTATGTAATTCTGAGCATTATAAATGAGTTACATAAATTATTTAATGAAAATTACTTAAATAGTCATTTCATTTATAGAATTTCCACTAATTCATGTAATACACACGCAAAAACGAATTAATGGTATGAAAATCTGACAATTTTAAGCACTGGCATTGTATTTACTGAGCTGTTGAATTTTTATGCATTAATAATCTGGATTTTTTATAACTCCTACTTGTTAACTCTTAATCCGGAAGGTTAAGAGTCAGTCAGTTACAACGTAGGACCAGGCACATATATGTATCGGTCCAAGTTGCCATACCACATTAGCACAACAAGACGAACATCAGATTCATATAAGCAGTTAATTCAATAGTGTTAGTATATAAAAGAAAGATCGCATATAAGGATATAGTACAAGAAGAAAGAATTAGTACGTAGAAAGAAAGATATGAAGCGATTTTAATCTCATAATTTAAAGGAAGACAAAGAGTGTATACACCTACGCTATTGTAATCGATTCTGAACCATAGGTTACGATAGTCACGCGGACCCCAACCAAGTAGTCTGCATCTACCAACATAGCTCAGACTAGAGGTTAGTGACTTCAAGCACTGATGCCACGTCTTGGTTTTGCCGCCCCTAACTTTCTTCCAACCATCTCCAACACCGGTTAGCATTGCGCGTCGTGGTAATCGGTGTTAAGGCATACGCAACACGTGGCCGAATCATCTCAGTCGATGAAGATTCACGGAGAGTATGCCAATTGAAAAAGTATCATGGGCTCATTGAATGTTATAAACATAAATCCGTAATGATTGTTTTCTGAAATTCCTCACGAATATTTACTTTTTTGTTATCTGTAGCCATGTTTAATACAAAAGGCAATAGTCTTTTAAGACGAGAATAAGCATCATTATAAAAGAAACGGTTTGAGATTATCCTGTTACTTAAAATAATTCATCGTTATATGATCGCTCAATCGTTTGTAATTGTGGATTCTAACACCTAATCCCTGACTAGATGACAAAATCTCACGTTTGAAAAATTTCACTACTCTCTAGTGAAATATGAGAGTAAAAAGTGTGAAATTAAATGGCCAGTTAACAAATGACACAGTAACTCTTATACTAAATTAATTTATGGTGGCAAACATAAAAAACGGTTAGCGACAAAGAAACAATTTTTAAAAACTACTAAAAGCATTCGGTTTTATCTAAGCTAATTGATGCGATACAAATCAAAAATTGACTAACTTTAATGAAGATTTAGAATGAAACTAGTTTTACATGGAAACTGATAATAAAACAACAAACTGGTTACATATAATATTAGATACCGAAAATTTTGAAAACGCTGTTCAAGTTACATAATGGACGAAAATTATTAATATAGGAACCGACCTAAGAGATTATGTTTGTAAGGATGCTATTAAGAGAAAATCGATTATTGATAAAACAATTGAACAAACAGTTGAGATACTGAGTGGAACACTTAAAAAAAACACAGTTCAATTATCTTACAATATGATCGAAATACTGTTTGAAGTGCAGTGTATTGACGATCATTTTAATTGCCAATTTATGGAGTCTAGATGCGCTTATAAATTGATTCTGATTGTTAAATTATAGCTAATGAATTCCTGAAGTTTTAATCAGTGTTAATGTGTACGGTATAGGATCATAATGCTTGTCATTTAACTTCACACAGGATAGATTACAAAATCCGTTGAACAGTTGTAGATAAATTCACTTGGTATTGTTTACTTAAATCGTCCCATTGACGTTTAGGACTGCAATTGATCAGTCTCTTATTGGCATACGTGTATACTGTGTGTATTTTCTCGATATTGCCTTAATTCACAAGCATTATAAGCAAAGATGGATAGTGACTAGCAGTGGAATCCAGGACGCGCATTTCGTTCTATTTGAGGCTGGCCGGCTGGATGTACCTGCATCTCAGTACCGTTCGCTTCAAACGCCGTTGCGTTATCTACTTAGTTACTGAGTTCTGATAGCCACTTGCTTGTGCAATGGAGTGAAGTTTAAATTCACTTGGTATTGTTTACTTGAATCACCCAATTGATGTTTAGGACTCTAATTGATCAGTCTTTTATTGTAGATAAAGTCTGAAAAATGTTTTTATTACACCTGGAGTGTAAGTTAACTTTATTAAATGATCATGAACATTCCGTTTCAAAACTGTAGTTTATTCTTTCAAATTTACTTAAATTATAACATTCCAAGCTTTTGTGATTTACATGCTCATCTAGAGTATGTTTTAGAAGATAAGCAAACAATTCGGTACATTCTGTTTGTGTTTTCCTACAAATTTTTAAGTGTTGACACTATGACAGGATGAAAAGGCAAAATTACATTGTTTTACTCATTGTGATTCTTGTTCAATATTAATTAATTCGATTTTTAATTCAATGTGATAATTATTCAGTGTAGTGGTGGAGAAGATTTGTAGCTCAGGTGGATGATTTTGATGGAGTTTTGTTCTCTGAGCTGGATGGTTTGGTCTTGGGGCTTTCATCGTTCTTCTGAACAACATCATCAGCACCTCGATGTGTACAGGACAAGCTGTGAATCACATGTGCAGAAATTCGAACACTTCACTTCTACTTGAAGTTTGTGCTGATGATGTCATTCAGAAGTACGATGAAAGCTCCACGAACAAAGCATCCAGCTCAGAGAACAAAACTCTATCAAGATATTCAGTGTAGTAGTTGTTTTGGTTTTTCAGTGTGATCTTCTATTCGGTATAAGATTAATTTATTTGAGTATGATGTATATTTGAGATACAATATTCTTGTATTCAATTAACATGAACTAGGCTCAGTATTCCATGCAACATGTGACGTGTTATAACTCTGGGTATTTTTCATAAATGTAATTTCATCCTTATCGTTAATCAAAATGAATGATCAATCAATATGTAAATGAGTGTGAATTTTCGACTAGCGTTGTCGTCATGTTTCAGGTTTAATATATCTTGTACCAGTTTAGATGCTCTTAGATGGAAATTGGAGTGGGTCCTTGTTTCAGAAGTATAAGTGATAGACGATTCTGACATCACAATTAGTGACGACCAGTCATAACACATTATATATCTTTAATGTTCGAAACTGTAATTGTAAAGATGCCTAACATATTATTATTGATTTACATGATTCAAAGATGAATAGACTCGCATTTAACCAATAGAAAGCAATATAATAATTCACAGATTCAACTTCAGGCACTTTATGAAATTACAATGAACACATAAAATTCAGCAAAAGAATCTCTTTTTTTAAGTTCACTATCAGGCATTGTATACTCGACTTATTGATATCTTAATTTTAAGATTTCCTCGTCTTCAACCATTATGTACCAAGTTCTTATTCCATATATTCAGCGCTATAGATCTTGCTCTATTTAAAACTTGCCTTCAACATAGATGTAATGAAATATTCGATTTCATTCTGCAAGAACATTTGAGTTTAATCACTCAAACAACTTCCAGTTTGCTTATAGAATCTGTCTAAACCTAACAAGATTACTTTCTCTACTAATTTTTGCATACAAAAGAAGTATATACATATAACTGAAATGATTATGTAAAACTAGACATACAATTGAAACATTGATCACTTACCATTAGGTGCATCCACATGAACAAACGCTGAATCATCTTCAACTTCCAAAACTGAATAAAACTAAAAATTACGATGAAAACAAGAAAGTAATAATTTACTTAATATTTTATAAGGAATTATGTATATATTAACAATTTCCAAAACAGTCTGATGTTACTTAGATAGCTATCGAGATCCAAGGATCACCAGATAGCTGTCTCTTCACAGTTTCACATTAAGTAACTCAAGACCTTGAGATATGGCGGTGAGCTCTTAGTCTTTTAACCATTGAGTCAGGATTCAATGGTTAACACTTCTAAATCCAATTCATCTGCAGTACTGAGTAATCATCTTCCAGCACTATTGGTAAAAAAATGTCTCATACCAAAGATAGTTAAATTCTATTAGTCACAGTTTCTCATTAGGGCCCATGGAATCACCACTCAAAACTAGTAGTAATGTAGAAATATACATCGAGATAATCTTATGTTTAGACACAACTACAACTTTATATGAAATTGAGGACTTTACAGTGGATACTAATAATTATGCCATAAAGATGAACCTCTGTAAAGCAGTATATATATATATATATTTCATGATCACATTTTAGCAATAACAGTCTATTCAATGGTCAGAATGTTGACCAAACTGAATAACAGCAGAAAATATAAAACTTTTAACAGAATTCATTCTGTGATTGAGATCATGAACCGATTGATGCTACACCACCATCATGCGAGCGGGATCGTGGTGAGTACTGCTAAGGAGTCCTACAACAGGACGAAATGGACGTCCAGTGCTTCCAGGTTTTCAATGGTGGTCTAGCATCAATCGGTTCACGATCTCAACCAAAAACTTAACAATCTCCACAACCTCTAAACTGAGAATTCATTCTATTTAAATAAGTGAATAAAAAGTTTCGGTTATTTTAAATACTGAATAGAATTAACATACCAATCTTTAAAGTGGTAAGAACTAATAATTTATAGAAGAAATATAAAAGATAATTAATTCATTTATTTATTGTTTATTCGAATTTTCTCATTGATGTTTAGGACTGCAATTAATCAGTCTCTTAATGGAATATGTGAATCCTGTACGGATGACTTCAATATTGCCTTAAGCCATGTATTTGGTTTGAGTCCTTGAGTAAAAATCAACTCTAGGATGCAGATATATCCAGTTGATCAGTCCAAATAGAATAAAATGCTCATCCTGCACTCCAATGCTAGTCACCATTCATCTTTGCTTATAATAAAGCATATTTGTCTACTTTTTTTCGATAAAATCGTTAATGTTAATCCATTGGTGTTTCCGCGTGTGGACTCGAATCCCATCTCAGTCACCAGTTGTTATATCTAGAATTTCGTTTCTTAATATGCTGCGTACAACTTGAGCACTCAAACGCTAGAACACTCCCAAGTCACAAATGAGATGACGGAAGACAAGTAAAAGGAATACTATTCCAAAACAGTGTCAATTATGGTACAAAACTGTCAGGTATTTATAGTTTCTAGTAAAAATGAAATCATTATTATAGTCCTCCAACCCGCATACAGGGGGTTATTAGCGTTTGCCCAACAGGGAAGCTACATGCAGGGATTCTAGAATATTCTTACAAATGATGATTGGATGGAATATCTCCGATTCATTCCATCAGCAACAGTCTACTGTGGCAGAGAACAAACCAGCGTCCAGCTGAGGAGGAAATTAGGAAAAAATGATGGGAATGGACAGGACATAAATTACTCAAATCATCAAACTGCATCACGAGGCAAGCCTCAACTTGCAATCCTGAACGGAAGCGGAAAAGAAGAACACGTTACATCGGGAAATAGAGAAGAAATGAAAAGGATGAATAGCAACTGGAAAGAGCTACAAAGGATTTTCCAGGGCAGGGTTGGATGGCGAGCGCTAGTGGGAGGCGTATGCTCCTCCACGATGAGTAACAGGTGTAAGTAATTACTTATTCTGTTAAACGATAAAACACTCATTCCATATATACAATGTTGATTTGTAAGAAATATGTAGTTCATGTAGTTAACCAATGGACTCATTATCAATCTTCATATGAATAATCAAATGATAAATTACACCTGAACTTATTATATATTTCTTTTAATTGGGGTTAATTAGTTTTTCTTAGTATTAAACAGTTAAAACAATATCCAGGAAAACATAACTGATCCAGATTTCATACTGGTTGGTATTCATCAGTAAGCTTTATTTTTTAATCTCAGAGAAACTGATTGTCCTCATAAGATTCAGATAGTAAAGTCTCATAATTGATGTAATGTTGACCCACGTGAGCTAATGACCACACTAGGATTAGATCTGGTTATCGTTTTTTAGCGAGTCACGTTTCTACGGGATGGGGTCGCTAAGCCGATGCTCAACCATCTTCCTTTAGCCTGGCTTGGGACCGGCAGTATCCCCAGAGGGGTTCCATGTGGAGATGTAAAGGCGCGGATTGGCAAAACAAGAGCAGCATATCTACAATCGAAGAACATCTGGAACTCAAAACAACTGTCAGCCAGCACCGAAGTCAGGATTTTCAATACAAATGTCAAAACAGTTCTACTGTATATGGTGGAAACCTGGAGAACTACGAAAGCCATCATCCAGAAGATACAAGTGTTTATTAACATCTGTCTACGCAAAATAATTCGGTTCCGTTGGCCAGACACTACTAGACAATGACAACCTATTGTGGCAGAGAACAAACCAGATCCCAGCGGAGGAACAAATCAGGAAGAAGATCTGGAAGTGGATAGGACACATATTAAGGAAAGCACCCTACTGAGTCACAAGGCAAACCCTCACATGTAGTCCTCAAGGCAAAAGGAAGTGAAGAGGAAGACGAAAGAACAGATTACGCTGAGAAATGGAGTCAGATGAGAAGATGAACGAACAACAATTGGATAGAACAGGAAAGGAAGGCTCATGACAAAGTGGGTTGTAGAATGGTGGTCGGCGGCCTATACTGCATTGGGAGTAACAGGCGTAAGTAAGTAAGGACTAGATCAATAGAATTCAGCTTGTTTTAGACAAACATGATATTGGTTTATGTTAAGTGACGAACTTATGTACATTTTTTCCATTTTAACCTAAGAATTAGAAAAGTCGATGCCCAATTTAGGTCTTTTGACTTTATAATAAAACTCATGAAGAGAGATGAAATTCATTTTAAAACATGGGCCGAAATTCGGACAATTTTCTTTCCAAAAAAATGTCTAAAATAATCTTAAAAATTAAGATGTAAGAGAATATAGAAAGTGAATGCATGTGCCCCATTTATGACCGATTATAAGCCGCATCACATAACATCTCAATTCCGTATTTACAGTGATGATGTGGATGTTAGGTCCTCAGAACTCACTTGGTAAATACCTTATTTTTGTAATTTTATTTTAAAATTTGAATTTCTTATTTTCGATCCAAAAACCCTCATAGTTCCACCTTCATGTCCTATTTCCCACTTTGGAGAAATTCAAACACTATTGGTTCGTTACATCTTTTAGTATGCTATTTTGTAACGCTTCCTAAGGACAATTTTATGCTATATATATGTTTCATTTGTGTCTGTTGTTATTGCTCGTGCTTCTGGCTGCTTGCAAAATATATTTCCCCATTTCTCTCTCTAGTTAACGGTCCTGGGACGAGTCAGAATAGTTAGCTTATTGATCAATGTATCACAGAGTCTTTGTTCCGTTCTCAAACTAGGTGAACTCATCATCACTTTGAACATAGCAAGTGATCATAAGGACTCTAATCACGTAAACAATAATCTTAGTAACACAAATTATTCCATTCCTTATCGTTCATTAAATATTAAGCTTTCCACAGCTTAATATGTTCGTACCAAACAAAGATTAATCTTATTACTATTTTGAATTCCCTTAATCGTCATCTTATTTATTTCCTCTCTCAGAACGGATAATATAATCTTTCACAGTTGATCAATTAATGATATTAATAGCTAAAATAATCATTTAAATTGAATAGATAAGTTGGATAGTTCATGTATGATAATAATTACTTTAACAGAGATATTTAGCAATTTAATAGGCAATAAGTAGTTTGTACATAGAAATCTCATTATAATCAGTTTGAGTTAGACAATCCATTTAGTGTCATTACATTCATATATACATGATGGTTCGTAGTTGAATATTTCCTGGCATAATTTAGTAGAATAGTTTATTTAGCCCTACTTAATTATTATCACTACTCGCTTTGTTCAGTAGTACTAATCGTTTATACATTATAAATAATAACTAAATGTTATATAGGTGGAGTGTATCACATACTAATCTCACCTGGAGGTTGGAAAATTTGTTCATTTAACTTATTCTGTCGATAGTATTTGTCGCGAATCGATTTCACTTGAGGTATTACTGAAGACCAGGAAATACTAAAAAGTTGTTGCATTTTTTTTGATAACTAGTTTGATACTTTGTAAGATAGTCGCTATCTATTGCTTATTATTTTTATACTAGATGCTCTCTAGTCTTCTATGGTATCCTAAATGAGATCAACTCTTGATAAATATCACCAACAAAATAATCTTCATAAAACCATTTCATCTAAACTATATATTTATACAATCTATTCATCGTATTGCAGTTATAACTTATCATACAATACACCAGTTATTTACGAAAATATATGAAAACATTAAAGAATACATATAGCAGGTTTTGGGGATAGGGAGTAGGTGGTGGAGAATTTCATCTACCATTACATACATATATATACACATTAGTCCCAACGTTTTCTCTACCATTTACTCATAGATTCACAATATTAATAATGATAAGAATAATTCGTTTCATCATGTAGAATAATTACAACCGAGTTTGAACAAATTTAATGTAGGATATAAATTAACCGAAAAATGTCATCGAGTTTTTTTTTTCTCTGTACATTATCGAAATTACAAACACTTATATTGACTAATATACATCATTCTAAATATACATCCGTATTAGTACGTACACGTACGTACGCACGCACGCACACATACATACATACATACATACATACACACATAGTAACATGATACATAGATAGTACCTCATAGATGTGAATAAACAAGATGTACAATCTGTTTATTTATTTATTGATCAGATTGAACATTTAAACTATAGTCAGTTAATCTTGGAAAAGATTTTAGGGACAAAGAGAGAGACAGAGAGAGGGAGAGAGAGAGAGAGAGAAATGCCTATTAAACTTTGTTTTAATTGTTTAATAAGAAAGTTATCAATTTGATTTTCAATTAATTGGCCTAAATCATTATTATTACCTAAAATAAGTATGGAAATGTAATACAATAATATTCACTTAATTTGGTAGTTTTTTTTGGTGTACATAGTGTGTAACATCTAAGATACCTAAACGTTATCAACTTCTAGTTTCGATTATCACATTATCTTAATCTCACCCTCGTATTATTTCTAATTGTTGTCAATTGATTTAATCATTAAATGTAAGTGTATTTTATGTTTTGCTTTATTTATAATTTACAAACTCAATATAAGTAAACCTGATGGTGACAAATATGAGACAATTCTATGAAGCTTGTGATGTAGGCGAGACATCAGTCTATCAACCAAAGGATGAGTTTACTCTACAGCAATTCGCTTTGTTTTACTTAATGAATGTGAAATATGACTATTAAGAGTAAAGTATACTAGTAATTGATCATAGATATCTACGAAGTATTGGTCGTGTACTTTTGGACCACGGAGTACACGATGGCTGGGTTAAGAATAGGGTACTAGGTAAAGACAACAAATCGTTTGATGAGGTTGTAAACCTTCATTAACTGAGGTAGTTGGGAGATGTGCTACTTATACCCAACAAGTAGCAGTAGGTTAGAGGGATAGCCAAACCAAAACATAGCATCGATCCATGAAGTCACTAACAGTTGGACTGGGTCACTGTAATATGCATAGACTATTTGATTGAGGTCTGTGTGATTATTTTAACCATTGGTTACAGACTTTCGATGACATGGCCCAAAATCGTTTGCACTGGCGCATGTACATCCATCCTTTATCTTCTGAACTCCTAGTAACATATTTTTTGTGCTTTCATTTCACTAGTTAATACTTTCTTCTCGAATCGTAACTTCGTTGCCTAATTTTTCCAGTCACCATTGATAATGTTACTACCACTTCTATTATGTAATTTAGTTTACCAATGTCATCTCTCTGTGCTAACAGAATATGATAACTTGAACCGATGTACATACGTACCATGTTCTACGTTGTAACTAAATGACTGACTACTATCAGGAAACTCTACATCGGTGACTTTAGTAGTTCAAAATAGTTAGGTTTTAGTTAGCACTGTGATGCAGAACGAGTGTTTCGTCTTAATTGGAACTAATCAGGTGGATGTATCTGGATCCACGCGTTTATGTTCAAAGTGGAACTTGATCCTAGTACCTTTTAATTCATACACCATTGTATTATCCAAGGATCTACTGAGTGCAGGTAGTCAGTAATTTGTTCAGCTGGTACGACGTTTGAATTATACTCTTAACAAATTCCATCTATTCTAACGTGATCGTGACTGACTGGATATGTCGATACAACGTGCACATATCTCAATACAGACTAATAAAAATTCAGTCCTGAGTTTTGGTGTAGTTTCATTCTCTGAGCTGAATAGTTTGGTCGTGGAGCTTTATTTGTTCTTCCGAATAACATCAGCATAAAATCCAGGTGGAAATGAAGAGTCCGAATTTCTCCACATAGGACTCGCAGTTTGTCCTGTCGACCTCGATCTTGACGGGTTACTTTTACTCTATCATTATCCGCCTCTTTATTTTTAATATATCCCAATTTAATCTGACTCTTGGTCCTATATTGTCCATGATTCCTCTGATTGGTTGATAGTTTGGATCGATTTCGATGTGTTTGTTGATTGCTAATTAACCTGGATACCAAGCCTCTGAGAATTCTCTGGTGTTCTTAGTATTCCCTCTATGAAAGGTTTCAACACTATTCTAGTCAAATGAGTGTACGCAGTTGTCCGAATTCGTTGATATAAGCGAAGATATATCATGGAGCTTGACTGCTAATTGGTGTTCATGAAGGCGAAGATGAAGAAGGCGTTCACTTTGTCCGATATTGTGTTTTGCACAATTGGAACAGTTTATTTTGCAGATCGTGTTCGTTTTTTCCTTTTTTGTTATTTCTTTCTTTGGTTTGCATAGAATTGTTTGACTTGATTTTGCCAGTCTATGAGCTATACCTATTCCAACAGTTTCTACAATCTGGTTGTGATCTTATATATCTTTTATATAAAATAGGATGACCCAGTTGTCGGTTCCTATATTTGGTTTCGTTTCTGCTGATGAGTTCAGTTGATATATATCTTGATGAAGTCGCGTGGGTAACCGTTCTTTTGAGGGATAGTCATAAGGCATGTTTCGCAAATTTCCAGCGCTGCAAGTGTGCTGCAGTATATTTTGCCCTACTTGAATCAAGTTAGTACACAGTTGATTTTGTGAATTTTTTGGGTTGTTGCTACTGTAGTTAAGATTTTGATCTGCATGGGTTGACTTCCTATATACTTGACGCTCCAGTTTTCTTGTATCGATTCTGGTGATCAATACGCCCAAGTATGATAGTTTGTTGTTCAACTTCTTGTCCATTGTTAATTTTATGTCATAGAAGACGTTGTTGACCAGACAGTAGGTGTTTTTTAGTTCGTCATTTTCGAGGATGACAAATGTATCGTCCACACAACGAATCCACATTTTTGCTTGGTCACTGGTAAAATCGAGGCCTCCAGTCTCTGCATTACTGCCTCTGCAATGAGCCCTAATATTGATGATCCCATCGGTGTCCTTTAGTTTATTCATAGATTTTATTATTGAATTTAAAATATTTTATTAAGCGTAAACTGATGAGTTCCAGTTGGTTTTGACTTTTGAGTTTCGTGTACCTTGAGAGAATTGTATCGTTTAAAAGGATCATGGATAAAGTTTCCTTTGCTAAGCTTGGTTCGAGTGAGGTGAATAAAGTTGTTAAGTTGAATGATATCATCAGTTCTTCGTTGTTGATTTGAACCCGCTTAACGTTATCCAAGATCTGTATGAAAGATTTAATAGAGTGATTGGATGGATCCACTAAGTGCTTCAAGAATCATGAGATTTCTCTCGATAGATTGTATTGGAATTCCGAGGAGTGATACAAACAGACATAGTGGATGTTTGATTTGTGTAGTTTCGGTCTACCGTATAATTGAGGGAGAACTGATTTCATTATCCATTGTCCTTGTTTTTATATATTTCCTGCTTTAACAAGCTTGTTGAAAGTCCTTAAGACTTGGTTATCTAACCTTTTGCTTGAATTTGTGTCCAATGACTTATGTACACTTATATCCACAAGTAGTTCCTCGGCTTTCTTGATATATTCTTCCTTAACCATAATTACTGTAGTGGATCATTTACCCGCTGAGATTATGACAATATTTTCTCTAGTTCGAAGTGATTTTAAGGCTTTTTTGTTTTTGGGCGGTCAGTTGAGTGTTGTCTTTCTTTCGCTGAGTTAACGATACCATGGTTTTTTCCATTTCTTACTGAGTTTCTTCATTTATTTCGGCAGTTTAAGTGATGAATCTAGAGCAGAGAAGAATTCTGGTTTTTAAATGTCACTTTTATTGTACGCCAATCTTTTTTAAGTTTTTCTTCTTTGTTCGTCAGAAATTCTTTTGACAAGTTGACCACACAGTTGCTTGCGTTTAATTCTGTGGATGGTTTAGAAATCTTGATTAGTTTTTTTTAAGTTATTACTTCTTTATTCTTTGTGTCGTCTGCTTAGTATATCAATAGCCGTTGTAAAGATTGTCTAACATTCTAATGTGAATATTCTCTCTAGCTGCCTCTCGTAGTCATCCATGATCCATTGATATTTGTGAATCCTGTATTGTACATCAGTCATCATTAAGTGTAACGTTTGCTCATGATGAAACTACCCACTTCAAAGTGTAAAGAACTTCAAAAATGTCTTCACCTGGGCTACAAATATTCTTCAACACTTCAAGTACGATTAATAAATAGTAAAAACATAACCGAAAACTAAATAGGAATAAATCAAACTTATTCTTCGCCTGTTTACATTATCAAGGTGAACTTTTACCTAGTAGTGGTTAAAAATACATGATATCAGTTTCTGGTGGTCAAAATGTTTATATAATTAAATGATCATAAATCGGTCTATATATGCAGTATTCAGCAATCTACCTGATGCGCATAAACAAAAAGCGATTGACGTAGAGCAGACCAAAATGTGAGGCCTTTTTGTTATTGGTGGATAAAGCTTAAACTCTCATAAACACGAAACTTAACCAACAAAGCTCGTCACTGTAAGTCAACAATTGTTGAACACAATCCAATTAAGTTTCAAATTTTGCTAGTGGGTAGAATCAGACCACTGCTTAAGCCAATTATCATTAACCAACCATATAACTACAGCGTATTTATTAGTTTCCTCTTAACTGTGTTCATGTGACGTGTGGCTACTTTGTTAGGCACACATCTATATCAAGTTAGACTTTGACTATGGATGATTTTCTGTCACATTTCAATATCACGAATTCTCAAGGTCTTTGAGGACCTGTGTGAAACTTACATAAAAGCCATTGAATAGAGTATAATATTTACCAACTTGGAATAGAATACAAGCACCTGAAATAAACCTTAAATAGAGGAAAATCTTTCAAACAAATTAAAGACGACTGGAATAATCTTTTACGTAAATAAACAAAATTAATAGATATTCATGAGGCCATTCTATGTGTTTTTAAGTCGGGTTTCAATGAAAAGACCTCATTTTACAATATATTTGTCAATCATTCTGCTTTTAAAATGTGTTCTTAGTTATTATTAAGCGAATAGTTACAGTATGTGAAATTAGCGCAGTTCGCCATAAACTTGATTGATGTGTTTTGTGAGTGTATAATCATTCGTAAAAATACCAGCCTATAAAAAATGCCTTACTTACCCTTTCTGCTTGTATAGTCGGCAAATGGGCTTTATTGAATGTCCGACCACCATCAGTTGACACACTAAGCTGTACAGTTTGGTTTTTGGTATCTGAAAAGTGTGATGCGTACAGAAAGTGTCCTAGTTTTACGTTTCATAGTCTTGCTTTGTCTCCAAATCAAACGAAATACTACTTTTATCATGAGGTCTGGGAATATCAACTTTAACTCCACGTGGGGCCCATACTCTTATAACATCCTTCAAAGTTCAGTCCAAGTTAATCCAAAATCAGAAGACTTTGCTAGTATGTGTCTTTCACTTGCATCTGTTGTTTTTAAAAAAATGAAAGGTTCAATTTATTAATGGAATACACTTGATTTTTCAGTCAATTATTAATACCAAGTTTGTTTGGTCTATTTATTTGTGGCGAAACAACATAGAGAGGAAATAAAGGTAGACAAGATCTGGACAATTAATGTATGTCAGTGACCATAAGTGTTTACATAAGCCTCAAGCAAAACTTGTCACCAATTCATCAGCAAAATTTATTCGGTCCGCACCCAAATACGATGTCCTACTTAAAAAACAGCCAGTCAGTCAGCTAAGACGTGGAACCAGGTACATATATGCACCAGTTCAAAATGTAACACCTCGTAAGCATAACAAGATGAACACCGAATTCATAGAATCAGTTACTTCAATGGTAGTACTATATAAAAGAAAGATTGTATATAAGGATATAATACAGGAAGGAAGAATTTGTTCATGGGAAGAAAGGTATAGAGCAATTTTAATCTCACGAATTAAGGGAAGACAAAGAGTGTATACACCTACACCACTATGATTGATTCTGATCTAATATCTGTTACTTATTCAAAAATCAAACAGTACTCACATTTTTGCTACATACGTCTATTAAAATGTATCCGATTCTGATGACTGGTTTTTGTAGATATGCTGTCAAAGATTTAAGACATAATATATGTGATTTTTGTTAGTTCATAGTTACTAGCTCCTGCTACCTTGACATATTTATGTCGGAGTACAATAAAAAAGCATTCCAGATATATAAGTGGAAAACTCTACGAAAAATGAGTAATTTAAGTCTAAATGTAGAGATATTCCTTTATCTTTGGCCATGAATAATATTACTGTCATATGGCTACCTTATACTAACAGGAGTAAAGTGACCTACCGTTCCAGTAACTTTTAAAACTTGAGAGACCTGAATCCAATAAATCCTAGAAGCAGTCAAGAAAAGATAGACCAAAATGCGGACCCATATTTAATTGAGTAAACACTCTTTAGGAAGTCTTATTGAACAATGCTCTAGATCCTCTTAAAGTTGAAGCGATAATTTCAGAGTGCTAGATTTGGATACTCTGAAACATATTTAAAGAGAACCAACATAGTTTTTAATTTCCTGCTAAAAAAACTTAAAATGAATAAATAATCATGTCTCACGACTTAAGAGACTTTTGACCAACCTGATTAAAGCTTGCAGTAGTATTAGCAGTCCTAAGCATCAATATTGAGGCCTAATTCAAACACCGTATGTAGAGGAAGTACTTGAAAGGTATACGTTGAATATTACGAATTTTATTTAACTGTACATTTTGAAGCTTGGGAGACGTTTTGAGATTCACTTTTTTGAGAAATAATCCCAGCAGTTTTATCAGAGTTCTCTAGAGCAGAACTTAATATCTTTAAGTATATTGAAGTATTTTGAAAAGACCTACTAAAACTTGAACTTTTCCGTCCCTACCTAATCTTTACATATCTAGATCATTAAACTGAGACATTCGCAGTCTGTTAGTAATATTTGTGGAGGTTTAACAATTAAAGGCTCATACCGTTCCTTTTAAAACTATAAATACACAATTTAAAATTAAACTATAAACAACAATTTACGATTGAATGATGACAAGTAACTGAAATTAAGTCACTTGAGAAGTCATAAACGGACTTACTTTTACTGGATTGTGGATGATAAAGTATGTACACTGTTTCTCCTGGATCTATTTCATAAACAGACCTGAATAACGTAAGATTAGTTTGCATATAACTAACCAAAAGTAATCCACAACATTATCGTGAATGTTTTTCCATGTTTTACCGTTATCAAGTGACAGATATAAAATCTGAGTGACAGGCGTTATAAAATTCAAGTAAACTCACCGAGGTTTTTTCTTCTAAAGTTAAAACCCATGGAGAAAGTCTTTCACGTGGATAAAAACGCAGCTGGCCACTTAAGACAAATGGTACACTGGACCTTTCCCAAGTAGAACCCCCATCTTCAGTAACAAAAATCATAGACCTGGTCATATTTTCCACATCATAACATATCACAAATAGCTGAGCTATCCCTGAGAGAGGAATGGACTAAACTCACTTCTTTTGAATCTCTCTGATTCTGATGACGTTGAAGGCCATTTTCTCTCCGGATGTAAATACTCTCACCCAACTGCTGCGTAATTTTTGTGAACGTTTTACCATTGTTGTCACTACATGGCAATAAAAAGTTTTCTTCTTACCTACGATATATGTCGGATGTTAGTCCAGGGCCAGACTCCCCTTCAGTCATCGTCACTAGTATTAAAACCTAATCCTTAACAACACGAAAAACAAAAACTACCCCACTGTTTTCACCTGCCCACGTCAACTGAATCGTTTCTTTTGTATCGTTGACGAAGTAGAACTACGAAAATTAATGCAACGAAAACTTACTACTTCCAAGGCTTTTCCGCTCTTGATAATGGGGTCGAATAGTTTCTGTTGTAAATCGCAAACATTGCTGCTGGAGCTTGCATCAAATGGAGAAATACTAGTAAACGTAAGCACGACTACAGCAAGAAGTATAATCATATTGGGTTTGAATAGCATAACACCATCCGAATATGTGCCACATTCAAGGTGAGTGTTTATTGAATTAAATGGTTATAGATTAGGTAAAAGTATTCTGTTAACAGACTTTTGTGCCATTTATGTCCCCGGATGGAGATTATGGTGTATTAAACAATCAGGGTAGAAATACTGACAAATTACTATGGTAAACTATGTCTATCGAACACTAGAAAAGACTACGCGCGCGCTAAATAAAAGGACAGTGGTATTTTTCCTCGCTGAGTAAATTCTTTTGTTTTGATCGTTTATTATGTATCGAGACTACTGTTTTCACTTTAATTGAATTTATTTCAGTTAAAGTATTCGAGTAGAGTATCGATTATGTTTCTAAATTAGTTTGTCGTCGGTGCTTTTGAGTACTTTGTTTTCTATTGTATCTGTTACTACTTTTGGTTCTAACAATCTACAGCTTTCCACTTTTTTGGTCACAGATCATCTTCGCCTCTGAGAATAATCGAATCTAGTTCTTTTTTAAAAAAAGGACCCCTGTTTAATGACTGGACAGTGCAAAAAAGCACTTGCCAACGTCCGGGCTGTCGTTATCCAGTTGAAAGCGGCATGCAGTGCTATGGGCGCAAAGGCTGGTATCACGAAGTTTACACGAATTTAACATCTGTGGCTTTCAAACAGTTCAGTAAAAATGGTTGCGTACGGCTTCGTCAACAGTGCTGTTCGGATGCAGACAGCTTGCTGACCGTGGCCATCTCATTCGTAAATACTGCAAAAAGTGTTTTTGCAAGCGTGGTCAGGATACATCGAACAGAACTCGCTCTGTCGACACGCAAATTGTTATGAAGCAAACTCAGGTGATTTCGAAAACAGGTGACTCACACCGACCAAGGGAGGGAAAACAGCGTTCAAAGAGGTCTGCCTTCACCAAAAACTCAAGAAATGAAGTTTCTTCTGTCCCCCGTCTTCTAAATTGTATCCAGCAGGAAACGCCTAGAAGCCGTAATCACAAGGCTCAATCGGTTTCTAGCGGGAAAAATAACCTGACCTCCCAGATCGTCGACAACCGCCCGGAATCCCACAATATGTTTGACGCAACTGTGGTTGCTTCTCCTAGCAATGTTGACGAGTGGGTACAGGTTGTAAGGAAGAAACGGCGTAGCGACATAAAAAGGAACCCTGCACCCGTAAAAGTAGTTGAAAAATCGAAAGCTGATCACAGCAACAGATGAGTTATTTTTCATAGAATCAAGGAGAGTGAGAGTTCTGAACCAAAAGCTCGTATTGAGCATGACATTGTGCTGATAAAACAGTTACTTAGTCAACTCATGCCTCAAAATATGACAGGGTCACCTTGCTAAAGGTGTACAGACCAGTTAGTCTAGCAAACTTGAAACCAAATCAATCCAGACTGCTTAAAGTAGTACTCAACTCTTCGAACGAACGCGATCTAATTTTGCAGAATGGACATAAATTAAAGGGTTCAGGAGTCTTCATACGATAGGACTTACCGTTGACAGACCGTGTACAAAGACGGGGAGCCAAAAATGGGCTATAACTTAGGTTAGACGCTCGCAAAAAAGACATAAAAATTGTACATTTTCGGGTTGTAAGGCTTCGACAGAGAATGATGCTGAAGCCACTCTGGGTGAAGCACCAAGTCACTTAAATAGGCTTCAGATCTATTACACTAATGCCTGAAGCTTACTCAATAAGTGATAGGAACTAGGTGTACAGATTGACTCTACAAAGCCAGACATAATCGCAGTTACAGAAACCTGGCTGACACAGGCTATAGATAGTATGGAACTTGATTTCGGGGATTTTACGTTAGTAAGGGCTGACAGAATACAAAAGTGTAAAGGAGGGGGAGTAGCTCTACTCATTAGGAATGCTATCTCATTTGCCATTATCGACAGTGTATCCCATGAGAGTGGGACGTGTGAATTAGTTAGTTGCCGCGTGAAATGCAGAGGACAAGAGCTGCTGATTGGTTTGGTCTATCGCAGTTCAAGCTGTGAGGTAAATGAAGTCCTGCTAAGCAGTCTCAATACTTGGTCACAAAGTGGTCGACGTCTAACCCTAGTGGACTTCAATGCACCTGTGGTAGACTGGGAAAATCTGCGAATTGATTCGTCAGAAATTCCTTCGAGAAGGAACTAGTTGATGAGGTTATCACATGTGCTTTAGTGCAACATGTGAAAGAAACGACTAGGTACGACCCGGACATTGAATCATCCTTACTAGATCTTATACTGACTCACTATGAGGTTGATGTTGCGAACCTCCATCATATGCCACCTCTAGGTAAAAGTGATCACGCAGTTTTAACTTTCAACTTCCATATAACTGCCAGTCAAGAGCACGCGTCAGTCCAGTCCAGACCCAACGTCTGGAAAGCAAACATACCAGACATCATGCACTCAGCATCGTTAGTAGATTGGACAATAGACCCAGAGTCCTCCATTGAAACGGCCTGGGACGCATTTCAAAATTCATACTTAAAAGTTACCACACCTCACATCCCATGGACTATACCAAAGGGGCCGAAAAACTCACCACCATGGCTCAGTAGGGAAGTACTATGTTTGCCCTCAAACCTGTTTGCCGTTTTGAATCTAATTTCCGGTATTCATTGGATGTATTACGTTTGATATTTAAGAGGATGTCCCGAAGTGTTCAGAATGGGTAGCTTGTAGTGTCTGATACTGTAGAGGTGAACAAATCCCCAAAATACATAGCTCCGTAAACGGTCATAAACCCTGCGAAGAAGCACTTCACTTAAGCGATCTGTCTCTAAACCACGAGAGACGGATAACCTCGACTGGTTCTAGTATCTTAACCAGTATAGAAAGTCTTTCGGAAATTGCAGAAAACCCTGCAATCTTTTTTAAACTCAAAATCGACTGACACGAAAAACAATTCAAAAAACTTTCAAGCCGGCACGCGTTAACGGCAACCTTAGCCGGCGAACATATCCGTCTGTTGTACGTCACAGATGTGACAACGAGAGTTCGCCACCTCGTCGATACTGGCGAAGAAGTTAACGTTCTTCCTGCAAATTCTGACGAACGGCTTAACGAATCGGTTTTAAATCTACAGGCGGCAAGTGGAAAGCCTATCGTCACATACTGTAAAAGGTACGTTTACCTTAATGTGGGTTAACGCAAACCCATACACTTGATCTTTGTTGTTGCAGATGTTTCCATACCAATCATTGGTATAGACCAACTACAGCGCAACAATTTAGTCATCCATACACTCAAACGGAGGCTAGTAGACGGAAACACTAATTTATCTGTTTGCGTAACTTCATTTTGTGGTTGTAGATTATCTCCAGTCACAATTAAACACACGATAGATCCTTTCTATCAACCACTCCTCGATAAGTGTTCTGTAGTATACCAATCACAACCGAAATTACCGCGTGTAACCAGCAACATTACATATCACATCACGACTACGGACCACCTGCATTCTCGAAAGCACGTCGACTGGCTCCCAAAAAGCTAAGGTTGGCCAAAAACGAATTCGACCACATGATAAACTTAGGTATCACAAGACCGCCAAACAGCCCATCGGCATCTCCATTGCACATGGTCCCGTTGCCTCACATTCACGATTTGATAGCTGCCTTGAAAGGTACAACTGTCTTTTGGAAAATCGACTTGGTTAAAGCGTATAACAAAATCCCTACGGCTACTGACGATATACTGAAAACAGCTATCATTACTCCCTTCGGACTCTACGAATTTTTGCGAATGCCCTTCGGTCTAAGAAACGCTGCCAAACCTTCCAAAGGTTCATAGACGACGTTTTTCGAGGTCTCAACTTCGTACATGCGTATGTTGACGACTGTCTAATAGCAAGACCAGACGGAGCATTGCATCTCAAGCATCTGGATCTTGTTTTTGACCGACTACAAAAACATGGCATTACTGCAAACATTCGGAAATGCCGAATCGGAACTGACTCATTAAACCTTATTTATTTATTTATTTCAACACCTAATATCGGTGCAAGAGGGCACCAAATATATATGCGCCACACCATATTTGTGTGTGTGTGGGCTGTGATACTGCCGGGGTGCCCGAACCGAAGCAGGTAGTTTTCTTAGGGGGCCACACTCGGAGCCTTTGACCTAAAGGTCTGATCCACAAGGCAGTGGAGCATCGTGAGGAGATTTAGTACCATGGTAGCCGGTGACCATGGATTGGTCCGCACGCCATTTGTTCCCACAGGATACTGGAGCCCATGCGCACCATTGGTTTGGGATCTGGTTAAAGCGCCGGATATTCGCTTTTCGTCCTCTCATTTTCGTGAACAACACCGGTGCCACGAGAGGCAGTGAGTAGGACTTCCCTGACAGAGGCTTTATACTTCCTCGGACACACTATAGACGAGCAAGGTATTCGACCCCTTAGAACCAAAGTGGCAGCCATTCTGGATTACCCAGAACCGACCACCATCAAGCAATTACACACTTTTAACGGACTTTTAAGTTTCTATAGACGGTCCATACCGAAATGCGCGTTACTTATGAAACCGCAAACCGACGAACTTCGTAGAAGTGTGAAATTCATCAATCTGGACGACACCTCACGAAAGCATGCTCCACAATTAAGGAACTTATCGCCAAAGCAACGATGATTGCACATCAGGACACCCAAGTACCCATTAGTATCGCAGTTGTCGCATCTGACTCAGCAATCGAAGGAGTCTTACAACAATGGGTTAACAACTCCTGTCAACCATCGGCATTTTTCTCTAGACGGTTGCTAGACACTGAATCGGGGTACAGAACGTTCGGTAGGGAATTCCTGGCTATGTATTGTGCTGTGCGGCATTTTCAACACCATATCAAAGGCTGTGAATTAACGCTTTTTATTGACCATAAACCTCTTACTTTCTCTTTAAGCTCCTTATTATAATTATTATTATTGTTATTATTCACAAACATCTTATGGGTACATTGGTGTTGTGAAAAAACCATTTCGGGTTTCTCCAAAAAATGCAATAATACACAACTT